AGAATCTCCCTGAAGTGGAATTACCTGGCACATATGTAAAATACATTGCCAAAATATTTTCCAGAAAGATTGACTCAATTTACACTCACGTTGACTCTGTAAGAGAATATTCATTTCCACACTTTCTTCTGTCCCTGGGCATTTTAATTATTTATACCTTTCTGATACACAAAAAGGAATAGATTACAATAATTTACATTTTTTATTACCCACTATATTCAAATAGTTTCATAATTATCATTAGTGTATTATTGAAATTTATGGTACATTGCCAGTTTGTGTCTTGGCTCAGTTTTCTACTGGAAAGTTTGATTATTTTTTTGAGTCATAAAATGTCATTTATTCATGAATTCATTATTCATTCATCCAATAAATGTTTTTAGTATTTGCTTTGTGTAGAAGATATAGCAGTAAGCAAAAGAGACATGGTTGCTGCCCTCTTGAACTTCCAGTTTTGTGGATATAGACAATTAAATAAGCAATAATGAAAAAGTGCAGTAGAAAATAAAATAATGAAATGGCAACATTTGGGTGGATAGGGGATTGTAAACCATGGAAACTTATCAAAGTAGTGGAATTTAAACTCCTGATATATATTACAGGTCTGTACTTTTTATTGCATATATTTAAACTTTTGTTTTCACCTTATCTGACTTATTTTTCATTATATAGGAGCTTTGGATTTTCAATTGGTCAAATCCATCCATCTTTTCCTTTGTGGTTTCTTCCTTTTGTGTCATGCTTAGAAAGGCTGTTTTCCACATGAAAATTATATAAATGTTCATCAGTATTGCTTGCTAGTCCTTTTTATATGTTTATTTATTTGCTTTAGCATTTTAATCTTTACTGTAGTCAGAATTGATTTTGATAAAGGTTATGAGGCATAGATATAATAATTCCCTCAAAATGGCTAGCCAGTTATCTATCTATCTATATAAAAGCCTAAGCGACTGTCTGACCCGTCAATCGTCCAACCTATATCTATGACATGCACTAATCACCAGGGGGCAGACACTCAACGCAGGAACTGCTGAGCTGCAGTGACTTGGCAGCTGCGGTTCTCGGGTGACACACCTGAAACCACAGAGGAGGGAGCCCGATTCAGGACCCCTTGGGGGATGTCTGAGAGCTGGTTTTAGCTTGATCATTGCAGGCCAGGCTGAGGTACCCCACTGGTGCATGAATCCATGCATCAGGCCTCTAATACCAATATAATTTACTTAATAATCCAATCTTCCCTCAGGGATTTGAAATGTAATTTTTACAATGTACTCCTTTCTTCTATGTTCTTCGGTTTATTTCTGGACTTTATATTTAATGCTAATGATTTATTTTGAGCCAATACTGTCACTACTCTTTTTCATGCTATTTATAGTTACCTAAAACTTGAGCATTTTGCATTTGGTGACATTCTAGAATACAAAGAAATGATAGACATTGCTTAGGGATGTGTGTGGGGTGGGAAATGAATCTGAATGATATCCCTGATCCTTTCAACTCTGAGACGTCCAGAGTCTGAAATTCATATAGGATCACTGTTAATATGGCCCATTTGTTTGCTGTCTACGATAAATTAGATGCTTTTATACTTGGTTTCCCCCTCTCACTCTAAAGCTCAGCTTTCAGAAGGTGGCAGTATTGCCAACCAGTAAGCATCAAATGTTACATGGAGCACCAAGGAGCCAAAGGGTCTGGCAGGATTTTAGAATCTCTCCACGAGCTTTCATTAGAGGAGGCAGCGGGCTGTGCTACTTCTAAAGTCTTCTTTGTACCCAGAAGAGTGGATCTGTCCTTGATGTGTGCAAAACACTAGTGGACCCATATTTTAAAGTGACACCTTTGCCTTCCAGGCATTTTTTACAAACCTTATCCTAAAGTGTCTTTGGACCCCACCACTGACTGATGCAATGTGGAGAAATGTGGATTTAAACAATGTGATCATGGTGGGATCCGGGTGATTTTTATTTTCTTTATACTTAGTGGTATTTTTTCAGATTTTCTGCAAAGATCATGTATTGCCTCATAATCATCAAAGAAGAAGAAGAAGAAGAAAAAGAAGAAGAAGAAGAAGAGGAAGAAGAAGAAGAGGAAGAAGAAGAAGAGGAAGAAGAAGAAGGCGGCAGCATGGGGCATTAAAATATGGTGGTAAAGTGGAAGATTGTGTGCCAGAAACAGCTCACATCCTTTTCTTGTTGCATGTGGGTACATGCAACAAAATGGATTCAATGTTCTCTCCTTATCCCTAGAGATCAGCTCAGTGTTATTGCTAATCTGGAAGCAGATGCCAGCAGGAAGCTGAGACATTAGAACTCTATCTCATGGAACTACACCTGAGAAAGTCCTTTGGTGGGGAGAGGACAAGGGGTCAGGCTTCTAAAGAGACACATTGGCATATCTAACGGGAGACTGTGAATTACCTGTTGCAACTATGAGCCAGTGTAGGTTATCAGGACTTGGAGGACTAAATTTAATTTTAGGACCTGCCACTGAAAAAAGATCTATAAATCTTGGAGTGTGTCTAAGGGAACTACAAAACTGATCAAAGGCTGGGAAACAGGCACTATGAATAGAAGATAAAGTGGTTGCATTTATTTACTTCAGGTATGAAAAGCCTAGCTAGGGAATTAGACAAATTCCCATCTCCATGAAATGCTACTATGGTCCTCCCAATCATGGAGGTGAGACCTGAATTTATTAACAGTCTTCAGTTGTACAAAGCACAATTGCACAGAAGTTAAGTGTTACTTTTACGCTGAAACTAAGAGACTAAGGCTAGAGTGAGCACAAATTAACCAAGCAGAAGTGATTTAGGCCAGGCATTTAGAAGAACGTGCTGAACACCAAGGTTGGAGTTATCAGTTAATAACTGCGCATGAATTAGTAGGAGCTAGAATGAAGCGAAGGGTTTAATATAGTAGAAAGATGGGAGAGGACAGAGACTAAGTGAGAATGGGCCAAATTAGGCTACCTAATAATCTCTAAAACAATGGACCTAAAGTCAATTAATTCCAGGGGATAAAAATGAACCACATTCAGGAAAGGACATTAAGCTTTAAACAAACCTCGTTTATGAAAACCAGGGTTTGCAGACCAGGTAAATCTGGGAATGGTTACCTGCTTTGAAGGGGAGTACTCACCTGAGGTATCTTTTAAATAGCATATTCCCACAACTGTTTGTTTTACAAGTAATTTGATTTTGAAAATTGTGGTTTTCTTGGGTAATTTTTGAGGGCACTTCTTTCTATGAAGCCAAGCATACCTATAATCATGCATCCATTACCAGTTCACTGGGACACAACTGACTCTATGAATAAGGCCAACAGCCAGCTAGTGTGATCCACACAGCAACCTGCATAGCCTTTGAGATTTTCTTCCAGTCTTTTAATCCTTTCAACCTGAAAAACCTAGAAGACAATTTCAAAGATTATTTCCAAAACACTAGATATTATGTTGAACTATATGAAATTGCCGTTTCTTAGGTCAAAACAGTCAAATATCAGCTATTTCATATAATTCAGCCTAATACAGTAATTATTCCAGTGATTTGTCTGTCTCTGTCTTCATCTTCACTAAAGCTAAAGGCTTTAATATATTTAGTTTTTAGGTCAAGGTATTGGTGAGCATGTAAATGCCTGTGTACATAAGTAGGAAGAAATTATAAGGTGGGGATTAAAGATGAATACATCAGTTATAGGAATCTTGATCCTCCTTTTATTATACGAGACACTGGTGCCTCTTGTCTGACTTCAGGATTTTTCAGACTATGGAAAAAAGAAAAGAAGTCTAAAGACCTGATCTGCCAACCTATGGGAAATTCTGTCTGGGAAATGGGCCAAAGAAAGAACAATGGGGAATACAACAAAATGTGTAGCATGTTACAAGTTTAGTGGAGGAAGATCACAACAAAGCTGTGAGCAGAAAAACAGCACGTGGCTTCCTCCTTTCTAAAGTATAGTATTGCTTTATGTGTCCTGCTTTTAAGAATCTGCATAAGGTAAGACACCGAGTACACATTGGAAAAGTCATATCTGCATCGTCATCTAAAATTAGACAAGCTTAGCTGAACTGAAAAGATTTTATTAATAATGTAAAATGTTAAATATTTTTACGATCTGAGCTAATTCCAGCATGCCCTAAAGAGTTAACACTATGCTGATGCGCAGACTTCATGCTTCAGATTTCAATTAGAACAAAATGTCATAATATTCAAATTTTACATTTGAGGGTAAGTGTATATGTTACTACACCATTTCCTAACTGGATTACTTCATTCTCCAAGAAGCTGAAAAAGACACCATTGAATCGAAAGGAAATTAGTTGCCCATATGCACTGTACGAAGGTATTAGGATTATTGTGTATTTACAAAATTTAAACACTTTTCATAGATGATCTTTGCTGCATTATAAATTAAGATATTTTTCTGTTGAAGCTCTTAGATTCTGATGGAATGGAAGACTAAATGTAAATGAACGCAGAGAAAGCAATAGATGAGGTGGTGTTCGCTTATATTGTTTCTAATGATATTGATAGATTGGATTTTAACACAGTTTTGCAGTTTTAATGGATTTCTATGTTTAAAGACTTCTTCCACATAAGATAAATTGTTAACATGAGATCAGCAAAAGTTATAGGTTTACTAGTGTACATGAAATTATTTTTCTCTATAATCCATTTTAAAAGACCTTTAAATAATTTAAAAATCATAATTCTTGCATCTGTCATGGTATGGTTTGGAGCAGACATGACATGCACAATGTCGACTTTAAAAATCATTTTAAAAACAGCCTGTTTTTGAATCTGTGGTGTTTTTTTCCCCTTGACAGCAGCTACTTTCAAATGTAAAATCATTTAAGAGGGTAGAGAGTGGCGAATAAAAATAATAAGGAAGCATAGAAAACATAGTCAGAAACCAATAACTGTGGTTCAGCTGTCTGGAGGTCCTCGGCGTCTGTGGTTTTATTTCAGGTCTCCCCTGGGGTGGGTTTCCAGGAGGAATTGTCTAGCTTGAGACGAGACAACATAGCCCAAAGAACCTTCTCTTCCGTCTTCTAACCAGAGGGTAGGAAGTTAGATTTAGAAGACTGCTGTCATCTGTGATGGGACAAAGTACATATGAGTGAGGTACAGACAAAATCTTCTTATGAATTGGCTTTAAAAATCCACCACCTTTTGAATTAGGTTTCTTAACCTTATCACTATGGACATTCTGGACCAGATAATTCTTTTTACTTTTTAAATATATTTTATTGATTTTTTTTTTCTCAGAGAGGAAGGGAGAGGGAGAGAGAGTTAGAAACATAGATGAGAGAGAAACATTGATCAGCTGCCTCGTGCACACCCCTTACTGGAGATGTGCCTGAAACCATGGTACATGCCCTTGACTGAAATCGAATCTGGGACCGTAGAGTCCACAGGCCGACCTTCTCTATCCACTGAGCCAAACTGGTTAGGGACAGATCATTCTTTATCATTGGGGGCTGTCCTGGGTATTGTAGCATGTTTAATAACATCAGGGCCTCAACTCACTAGATGCCAAGTAGCAACTCCCTCACCAGTTGTGACAATGATATAGCCAAATGTTCCCTGGCAGAGGAGCTGAGAGCCCACTGTTGAGAACCAGGGCTTGAAGTTAAATGTGAACTACTTAGTTGCCATCTTTCAGTTGGGAGAAGTATAGATTCTTGGGAAGAGCCCAAGCTTTGGGCAAAGTAGGCTTCTTTTCTAAACTTGCCTCTGCTATTTACTAGCTCTGAAATTTGAACATGCCACTTAACTCAGCTTCAGTTTCCCCATCTGTCAAATAGGGCTTAATATTCCTTACAGGGGGATTAAGTGGAATAATCTATGAATAACACTTAGCTTGGGCGGACACCTTGGTGCCTAGCAGAGAGGAAGCACTTAATAAATAGGACTACTATTATGTAGGAAGGTCACCTTGCCTCCCTTCACCTACTTCATGTCTCAGGAAGAAGTGTCAACTATTCCCCGTACAGTCTTTCTCTCCCACTTTCTATAGATATCCATACAAGGGCAAGAGAAGCTGGCCAGCTGTTGAATTCAAACCGTTTTATTTGAAAATGTTTCCCATGATGACAAATAGAGGGAGAAATAAGCCTGAAAACCAAATCTAGTTTAAGGGGCTGGGTTTTAGAAAATAGTGCAATCCAAAGAGAGGCTGAGTAGAAATATCCTGCTGGGCAGAACTGGCCATTGAGTCCCAGAGGCTCGAGAAGGACCACGAACAAGTATGCTTTTCATTGCCCACTGGGACGGTGCTAGAACATGGAGAGACTGGAGCTAAGGGCAACCCGATGGTGGTTGGTTTTAATTGATGACTGAGCATAGGCACTCAGGAAATATCAACAAAAAGAGTCCTGAGTCCTGGCTTTTGGATCCTCTTCTGTAAATTGTGTCATCCCAATGCCCAGGTCTTTCTTCCCTTTTCCCAAAGGTTCATGTACTCAAATTAGCATTATACTTGCAAGCAAATTAGCATCACCCACCATATTGACAGTGTTCCTTGGAATGGTATGTACTATGTTATACATTTAGATGAAACTGAATAGGAATTGGAGCCAGGGAAGAAAATAGGCACCTCAGTTGGGCACAGCAAATTAGTCAAACACAGTGCACTTTCCCAGTCTCCACAGATTAAAATCCTTTCTTAAAACTCACATTATGCTAACATGGAGTGGGGGGGCACTCTCTTTGTCCTTTCCATGGTGAAAAATAATTCATTATAATCTGGATGTCAACATTTTGAGAGCTAAAAATAGATGTCCTTCTTTTATAATTAAACTTGCCCCAGGAAGGTGGAAGAGAGTAAAGAGGGAATAAAGGTGGTTGAAAGAGACTTGACTGGGGGTGATAAATACACAATACACAATACATAAAACAATATATAGATAATATATTGTAGGATTATATACCTGAAACCTACATAATTTTAGCCCTGACCAGTGTGGCTCAGTTGGCTAGATTATCGTCTTGTAAACTAAAAGGTTGTGAGTTCAATTTCTGGTTAGGGCATGCATCCAGGTTGCAGGTTCAATCTCTGGTTGGGCATGTATTATGGGAGGCAACCAATCAATATTCCTTTCTTGCATCAATGTTTAGCTCCCTCTCTCAAATCAATAAAAAATAGTTTAAAACTTATATAATTTTATTAACCAATGTTACCCAAGTAAATTCAATAAAAACATAAAAACACATACACGTACAAAAGCAAAAACAAATCTTACCCTAAATAGTTAAGCCATTGAAAGCAATGTCAGAGAGTCTATATGAGCCAGACTTCTCAAGATAATATCTCAGAGGTGAATCATGATATATTTGGAGCAGAAAGATAGCTCACTTTCTAACCATTTTTCGGACTCTTACTTCTTTAACCACCAAATGAGCAATGACTTAACCTGATTGGGTGTGGCAAAGAGCAGATTCTGAAGAATAAAGAATTTTATCTTTCGATATCTGTTTGGATACTGACAACATTTCCTGAAACTCAAGTTCATCTGCAATTCAATACTTCCTTGGAACAGAATCACCAGATCTATGAAGATATTTATAGGAAAGCAAATCTTTATATTTTATTTCTTTAAGAATTGGAAGACCTATTTCCTGAATTTCCATATATCCTTTCTCCAAACATTTAAGAGATTTGGGGAGTGACCTAATTGGCATTTTATATATTATAAAATGCAATTCTGATATGTACAGTTCTCACTACATGAGGAAATGTCTACTATAATGTTGTATTTACAAAGAAAGGATGAATGTGGATGCTGGAGAATGTGGAAGCTGTACATTTGCTCCTATTCTCTCCTTTTTGTTATACACACATATTAAGAGATTAGAGGTTTGGTGCACTAAATTCGTGCACTTAGTGGGGGTGTGTGTCTCTCAGCCTGGACTGTACCCTCTCTCAGTCTGGGATATCCGATTGGTGGCTTACGCCTGCTCCCAGAAGAGCAAGCCTAAACTGTCAGTCGGACATCCTTAGCACTGCCACAGAGGCAGGAGAAGCTCCCACCACCGCAGCTGTGTTCACCAGCCATGAGCCCGGCTTCTCTGTCCACCAGGGGGGCAGTTTCTGCATTGATCATCAGCCCCTGGTGGTCAGTGTGCATCATAGCAACCAGTTGTTCTGCTGTTCAGTTGATTTGCATATTAGCTTTTTATTGTATAAGATTTGGACCAAGACTGACAGTTGTCAGAGGAGAGGAGGGTTGAGGGCTAAGTGAAAAAGCTAAAGGGATTAAGCAGTACAAATTGGTAGTTACAGAATAGTCACAGAGATGTAGATTACAGCATAGGAAATATATCGTGATAAGTAACTATGGGGCTGGGTGGGTGTTTGAGGCAGTGGGGGGGACCACTCTTTAAAGTATATGATTGTCTAACCACTATGCTGTTCATCGGAAACTAACACAGAGTAATACTGAATGTAAACTGTAATTGAAAAAAATTGGACTGGCCCTTGTATCTATGCATTCATTACAGTGAATGAGAAACCTTTTGTGCTACTAAAATTCTCTTCACTCAGTCATATATATATATATATATATATATATATATATATATATATATATATATATTTCACTTGTGTGAGTACTATACACACACATAAACAAGCATAGTACTCACACATAAATAGCAAGTGTTAGGAATGATAAGAAATTGTTAGGATGTTGAGCAAAGAACAAAGTCTGCCTATTAAGGATGACTACTGGTTTGGGGCATCTTTGTTGAGCATTGGTGACACCTTAGCCTAGCCCAGAGCTTGTCTGATTATCACTAAGGGCTGAGATGACACAAAAGCTCAAAAGTTGTTGGCAGACGTTCAGAGCAGCTTTCTACACCATAGGAAGCTGACACCTGCAGTAAATGCTGAAATTCACAGAGCAATAGGTATGCCTGGAACAGTTTGAAGCAAATTAAAGTCCAAGGATAGATGTCTTTCCACATTGATTAAAATCCTGTCTCTGAAGTAATGGGTGACCAAAAGAATGTGAACAAAATGGACCATTTTCCCACTCATTGTAAACTTTCTGGGTTACTCCACTTGACCTTGTTGAGACATCTTTGATTTTTATTACAAATGTTTGACATTTTTGTAGCATCTTTTCTCCAAAGTACATACTCTCAGAGAATTGTAACCTAGTAGAATTGTAAATGTGAAAATAAAAATGAGAAAGGAAAGGGAAGGAAGAAATGCATATGAGAATGTGAAAAAAAGTCAACCATCAATTATTTCAGATCTCAGTTATTCAATGTATACACACCCTGGGTAAGGATGGGAGGCAACTGATCAATGTTTCATGTTTTCTCTCTCTTCCTCTCTCTCTCTCTCTCTCTCTCTCTCAAATCAATAAATATATCCTCTGGTAAGGATTTAAGAAAAAGAAGTTTTCAAAGAATAAACTAAGTTTAAAGCTATATTCTCAGATAAAATCAAAAGAAGTACTTATAAGGGCCAGTGAAAGATCTTCAGTTAACCTAGTGGTTCTCAAACATTAGCTTCCTCAGCATCTTCTGGGGCTTATTAAAGAACAGATAGCTGGCCCCACCTCAACAATTAGTTCTGAATTAGTAGGTGTGTGGTGGGAATTGAGAATTTGCATGTCTTACTCCCAGATCTGCTGATGCTGCTAGTCCTGAGACCACACTTGGAGAGCCATTGAATTAGCCAAAGTGCATGCTCTGTATCAGGTATAGTTGGATTCTAAAAGAAAGATGGTCCTTGGCCTCAGGAATCTTCCTTTGAGTAACTATGAGGCTTCAACAATAATGCTGTAAAAGAGATACAAATACAATCTTATGAGTATTCCAAATGGGGAAGTTACTCTCAATTGGAAGAAGAAGGAAGAAGGAAGAAGACATTCATGAATCCACATTTGGAGGAAAGCAAGTGATTGCATGTCACACTGAATCCTGCACAAAAGGTTGTAGATGTTATAAAGGGTATGGGGCTATTAGAAAGACTGCCCAGAGTAACATTCAGGCACCAACTTAAGGCACAGAAAATTTTTATGGAAGGCCCTGGGGAAAGGATCTACAAGGTCATTTCCAGGCTCGAAGATGGCATAACTGTC